GGTTTTTTTTATTAGTTAGAAATGACAAAGTACAAGTTTTGAAATTGAGCTTTGTTTTGCTTCAATTTTTAGATTTCTTTTGTACGAAAGAAAGGCTAATAAAAACAAAATTTAAAGAATGCACTCATGCCATCTAAAATGCATTGCTATGTAAATAATAATAGATGTGATATCGCTAACCAAGAAGTAAAGAGCTTCCATAAATATTTTTTACAAAATACATTGCAAATGTAGGACAATCACTATAGCAAAAAGATTATGGTTGATAGTTAATATATGATAAGATTATAGCAGACAGTGAAGGTTAACGATAAGAATTGAACTGCAAAGAAAACTAAGGTATTCGACGGCATATTTTACGTTCATATATAGTTACGTCATAGTCACAATATTCATTGGAGATACAATTTTTATCTTGTATTGTGAATCTTTTGCTAAGCTAGCCCGCATCACGCTTTACAAGCGTCTAGTTATTTAAAAACAATGAAGAATACTCACGGGCAGGTTGACACAGCCTAAAAAGTTTGATTTGTAATTCATATGATAAACTTAAGATTTAAGTATGTCATTGCTAAGCTTTGTACATTATTATCTTACCTTGAAGTCTAAAGCGGAATAGAAACCGTCCATTTGCGTGAAGTTAATTTATAAGGCCGTGAAAGCTACTTTTAGCAGAGATGAGACGCCATGTTGACACGTACTCGAAGCGAAAACCCAGTCAAAACTTATTGCAATCGGTACGATTCTACGTCAAACAACATAATTTTTACAATTTTTTTCTCCTCTTGAATCCATGTTTTTAAGTTAGTGCGATGGGTCAGTTGTTTTCGGCAAATATCGATTGGATCCACAGCATATAACACAGGAAACCCATCATAGTGAACTTTATTTTATTTAACGATCGCAAATAAAAATTAAAAGAATTTCTTAAAAACAAAACTTTATGCAGAAACATGTTTGTTATTATTAGAAAAAGGAGAAAAAGAAAAGAGAATCTCCAAAACATCAAAAAGAAAGAAAGAAAAAAATGTCCTGTCTCAAGCCGGACTCGAACAGCGGTGCTCCCTATAAAACTACTAAAACACGCCAAGTTTCCTCAAAGTGTCACCGTGGCAATATCGGTTAAGGCGCTCGGCGTACAATTCAGAGGTCGCGGGTTCGAAATCTGGTGGGAACATGAAATTTATTTCGCAGCCAAAAATATTATAGAAGTTACTATAGTAACCAAATTAAGTGAATATATAAATGTTATAAATAATAATTAATCGAAAAGCACAGGGAGACCAACTAGAGGAAGTAAGTAGAATAACATTAATATAATTAATATGATTAAATAAATAACCGCTGACAAAAAACATCGCAGGCTCAAGTTTACAGGAAAGTGATCGAGCGAGCGAGCGAGTGACAGCTGGTCCCATCCCAATAACTCTACGATTGCTGACGCAATCTCCGAGTTAAAAACGTATTCGATATCATGATATCACTTAGCGACATTTAGTCTACCACGTTTGATTTTATCAGTTCAATTGTAAGGTTAAATAAACTCTGTTCGCAGGGTATTAATCATACATGACCATTTAGGCCAAATTTAGATTTATAGAGTGCACGTCACATAAGCATGAAACAATTCTTAATTTAGTTAAAGTGAAAGGAATGCATTCTTGCTTTCACTATGTATTACAAGTAAAAAATGTATATTCTACGCCATAATTTTCATTCATAATATAATCATATGATTAGACATAATATAACATCATAACCGTATCGTGTTTAAGTGGGTTTTTTTGATAATTTTCAATGTTGTTTATAACAAATAAGCCCATTTAGCCACCCCTTAAAATTCCAGCTGGATCCGCCCTTTCACTACCAGCTAGTTAAGCTGCAGCACTTAGAAAATTAAAATCGAAACGCAAATTTGTAGATGAGACCTTACGTTGCACCTTCAATGGCAATAAAACTCATTAATCGTTGATAAAGTGAGCATCGTTGATGAGTTACCTTTCAGGATGCGGTAATGCGCCATGAATCCAGTGCGTGTTATCCTTCCATTTGATCGGAATACCACCGAAAGCTGGTTAGTAGTCGACTGAATGATGGGTGGGTATCTACAAAAATGTACAATATGAATAAAGTCAGGACTCTACTCATTCTCAAGCTATTTCGTCAAACATATTATTCATCAAAATAAAAAAAATAATAATAATAAAAATCGCGTTATAGAACTGCTTGCCCACCACAGGGAGCTCGAAGTACCTTTTCTTGCATGTTTAAAAAATTGTAAAAAATCGGATTTCAATAAAATCGTGCCATTTTTCGCCAACGTTCTAAAAACCCTCCCTAATTTTAGAAAAAAATGTCATTTTTTAGTGGTTAGGTGCACTTTAAACATTACAAAATAAATGATCTCAATGCATAATATAGTGTTTGACAGTCTCTTCTTCTACGGCCAAAATAATACTCAATCTGCAATAACAATTGAAATAACTATATACTTAGATCACTAAAAAAGGACCACTTATCCGAAGCGTACT